GTAGTACTGAAAATGGATTAAATATTAGTTAGATTAACTATATTTAATTCGTGATGTTGAAGAAGAGTTCTATTTGATAGATTTAATTAAGTGTGATAAATTAGATTTATTATACTTAATTAAGATGTATCTTAATCAAATAAAGTCGGTGCTTTTTCTTTATAATTTAGAATTAAAAAGAAAAGAAAACTAAAATAAATAATAATAAAGATGGAAAGTGGCGTGCTGCCAACTTTCATCTTATTATTAATTTGTTTGGTTGATTTATTTAATTAATAATAATTAAATCATAACTGAGATTGGTCCTAATTAGATTAGAACTCATTAATGAGAAAGACTTTCATTGTGATTGGGAAACTAGTTTAGAACTAGTATAAATACATCCTCCTCCTTCATAATTCGGTGACCTAGTTCTCAGATTCAGTATTACCAGTTTATTTCCCTGCGAAGAGATTTCCTAGCCTTTCTCTTAGGGAGATCTAACCGTTCTTTCGGAAAGGAGAAATCACGCGGATACCTAAGGTCAAGGATTATCACCGCCAGGCTGGAAGATCTGTAAGTTCTAACTCAGATCTATTATTATTGCTATATTCATTGTTTTGTCATAATCAGGGAAGATCTGTTTGGGAAAATTTTAAACTTCCGCTGCTGTACTTTCGAGGTACGTTACATCAATTTCCTAACAGATCTCCCGACCCGTCATATGTCTGACCGGTCGGTGGTTTGGCATCCCTTTGGATTTCAGCTTACATTATTTCCCGAGTAAAGGGGGAAGTGATCCCGGTCTGCATTGGGGTAGGTTGTACGGGTGCCCTGTTCATCTGGTCCCTCATCTCGTTCATCTGCCTTCTCATTTCGGTCATTTCTTCCTCCTGGGCTGTTAGGGGAGGTGGCGGTGGAGTCCTTAGGTCTTCATAATCCCGATCCCAGTGCCTTCGTGTGGCTCCAGTGCCCTCACGTCTTTCATATTGGAATTGACGCCCAACCGGTGTGGGTCCTCTGGCCCGTGACCCGATCGGGGTGCGGTCACTCGGAGTATGGTGCCCAGCTGTGTGAGCCCCATGATGATCTTCCCGATTGGCCCGTGAATGGGTTGATAGCGTGGTTGTTTCTGCATCGGGGGTTTCCTCCATGTAGCTGAATTGTCCCCAGTCATGCTTGTCCGCCATGAATTGCATCACTCGGGCCAGATCTCGCATAGCGTGAGGATTCCTCCTTAATGCTTCGGGGATGAAGAAATCCCCATCATAGTGCGGGTAAGACCCCTGACTGGATTGCCCTTGGGGGTCCGACTCTCCCCGTGTCTGCCTGAATTTTCACCAGTGTGATGAGAGGTGATTCTGACCATTTTGATAACAGGTTGTTTTGGGTAAGTGATTGGTGTGAAAACTTTTTGTTCAGTTTCCCACAGATGGCGCCAATGTTGAGGTTTAGTCCCGTGGATCCGAAAGCCCCACACAAACTTTGGATATTTCAGGAAATGAATAATAAATCAAGTGTATAAGGAAATATAAAAGCTGAAGAATAATAATGCTCAAGAGCCCACTTGTATTAGGCAATTTACTCATTACACAGAGACTTCCCGAACGGCACGTCGGAATAGTGATTAATATAAAAACAAGAGAGATAAAGCTATTCTAGGCCTTGTGTATCAAAATGCGAACCCTTTACAATGAGATTAATCACTCTATTTATACTAATGGGGGGTATGGGGTGCTTTATGCTAATTGGTAGTTAATCTCGCCCTTCGTATGCCCATGCTCCCCACGCGCTGATGTCACAATCTAGCATTTAATGCACTTTGCCACTTGCGAGTTGTTCGTTGCCCGAACGGTATGATAAACCTTGCTGGAAATATCTTTGATCTGGCCCAAGTACCTTGGTTGACCCGATCCCCGTTCGGGGCATATATTTCACTGGACCTGTTCTTCTTCTGGACTACTAATTGTTAAAAAGTAAATATATTTTTGCATGAGTATATATTTGTAAACAATGACTACTAATTGTCAAAAAGTAATTCTCACCCACGAAATAAAAACTAGTTTTTTTAAAAAACTTTAAACACGTATCTTATTGGACGATGCACGGGTACACACTAGTATACTATAAACTTGTTTTTACGGGTTTAATTGAAGGGTTTCCGCAATGATTGGTGCATCGGATGATTAGTGCAATTTTGTTCACCCCCTTTAAGGAGGGTGAACATAACCTCCTTCCCATTTGTTGCCATGTAGCTTGTTATCCCCTTTTTTCTTAATTTAAAAGCATTGCCATGGTATGTGGCAGCCCAATAGGGGTGGGGGTGATGTTCACCCTCTTTTGAGGGGGTGAACAAAATTATATTCTCGGATGATGCCTTGTGCCTTTCCTCTCTCAATCGGTTTAAAATCAAGATTTCTTATCACTCACTTTAAGTTTATATATATTGCTAATTAAGGATGTTTTTACTTGGACTGTAATTTGCTGGTCTGTTTTGGTCTGGTTTGGTCTGAAATTTTATTTTTTATATTTTTTGCATAAAGATTTTATTTTTTATATATTATAATCCAGAAATAATTATATTTTAGGAAAAATTGATTGTAATAATCCCAACTATTGGCGGTCCGCTCATATTAATCCCAAATTTCGATTATTTCAGAATAATCCCAACTTTAGGGACATTCCGCCAAAAATGGTTCGATGTGACGGACTATAAATAAATTCCTACAGTTTCTAAAGAGATATAGCAGGTAATCTCTATAAATAATCCCAAATTTTAATTTTTACGCTTAATTTCTTTTAAAAATTCACTTGTTAGAGCAGGTAATATGCGGTCATGGACCATTATTGGCGGACGGTCTATATAGTTGGGATTATACAAAAATAATCAATAGTTGGGATTATTGTTAGTGGACCGACAATAGTTGGGATTATTCTTTTCAATTTTTCCTATATTTTATTCATTTATAATTAAAAATAATAATATTCCTTCCAAATTATCGAAAATTGTTATCGTTTTACTTGGATTGATTTCAATCCCAGACCGAAGCAGATCAGACCAGATCATACAAATACAGAGCAACTCAAACTAGACCAGAGCATATCAGAATACACTCGACTATTCCAAATAAAAACACGACAAAAGATAATAGTAATAATAGTAATAATAATAATAATAATAATAACAACAACAACAACAATGATAATAATAACAATTATAATAATACTAATTAGGGGTGTGCACTATCCGGTTTAAACCGGAAAACCGGACAGAATCGGACCGGAAAAACCGGAACCGGATCGAACCACAATGATATCCGTTCCGGTTTTCGGTTATGGAAATTTAGGAAACCGGTTTCCGGCCCGGTTACGGTTTTGAACCGGATGAACCGGTTCGGTTCCGGGTAAAAATTGGAATACATCCGGTCCGATCTGGTCTAGTGTGGTTTTGTCTTGTCTGATCTGGTCTATTTTAGTCTGATCTGATCTGGTCTGGGACGAATTATAGTCCAAATAAAAACAATCTAATTTTCCAGAAGTCATAGTTTTTTATTCGTAATGAATTATGTGAGGCATAATTTCAGAAATCAAATGTGTTTCAGATCTCTATACTCTAAAATTTTCAAGAGGTCAGGTGACCACGCTGACCCCTGGCTCCGCCTCTCATTTGAATGGTTACAATTTATTTTTATTTTATTGACATTACATCAATTAGATATCAACTACATCAGGGCCGGCCTAGACATATAGAAGGCCCTGTGCAAAATTGAAAATGAGGCCCTAAGTTTTTTTTATCATTATATAATCATTATTATATTATTACTTTCACCGTTTTTAAATAATAGTGTTCTTAGGCTTTTTGTGGGTTTTAAGATGAAAATAGTAGGCCCTAAAGGTAAATGAATAGTAGAAAAGAGAATAAATTAAGAAAAGTAAAGTAATGACAAAGTATGAAAAAGAAAGTAGTTACGAGCTCGTTCCAAACTGTACGAGGGTTTTGTGCTAAATAATGTAATTAGGCCTTGTGAAATAAAGAAATCACACAATTGTAATTAACAATCGTACTTTAATTACATAAAAATATTACTATTTAATGATTGTATTTTAAAAAAATAATAATATAGGAATTTTTAATCAAATAAATAAAGATTTATTATATTATATAGACTATATTTAAATTTTTGGGCCTTCTGAAATTGAGAGGCCTTGTGCGATTGCCCTTCTTGCACGCCCTCATCTACGGCCCTGAACTACATAATAGCAGTAATTTGTAATTGTAATTTAGGTAAAGAAGATGACAAGGGTGGCACATTTTCTAAACTTAGAAACGGTTTGCGTAAGATTTATTTTAGATGCGAGTGATAGGTGATGAAGAGGAGCGTTTGATTGAAAAAGAAAAGAAAATAACAGAAGAGAATGAAAAGGGAAATAAGTAGGCGAGAGAAGGGCAGGACTGAGGGGGATTAAATCAATTAATTACTCCCTTCCGTCCCAATTTGATTTGCAAAATTTCCTTTTTTGATTATCCCTAAATGGTTTTCCACTTTCTATTTTAGGTATGTAAATAAGAATAAAGTGACAAATTTACCCTTACTTTTACTTTTTCCTCATTAACTTAAAAACATATACTTTTTGAAAGATGGTCAAAAGTATAAAAACAAGCATCATTTATTGTCAATTCTTAACCTTTGTGCCGGTCAAAGTTTACAATTCAATTCAGGACGGAGAGAGTAATTAATTAAAGGAAGAGAGAGTAGCTTAGTAAGAAGGCCGGCCATGTTGTGAGAAAAGTTTATACTATATATATTATCTCCGTCCCACTCAACTTTGTCAATTTGATGTCAAGTGAGAAATTAGAATAGTAAAATTTGTCTGATTGAGGTTTGTGAATAGGATGGAGAAATAAATAGAGTCACGAAAACATAGCTTTAATGGACAAAGTTTTTTGGAACAAAAGGAAAAAATTTGGCAACACCCGTAGGAGGGAGTACTAGTATATATACAGTGGCATGGCATGCAGATGAGAAACACAGATAGGTGACGCTTGTGAGGCGGCCACCACCTCTCACCAATTCTCGCTCTTCCCACTCTGCCACCCCAATTATATATATTTGCGCTGCCTAGCTCCAAAATTTATTTTATTTATTCGTTCATCCAATTATTACAATAACTTCAAAACAATCTATGTGCGGCGGCGGCAGGCGGCGGTGGTGGAGACCATTCTCTTCGAGGATCATCGCGCCGTTAATTCTGCTCCTCCTCTGTTTGCTCGTCGCTCTGCGGGATTCCAACACTTCTTCCACCGCCCATCATCTTTGGACTTGGCGCTGGCGTCCGCTCCCGCCGCCGCCGCCTCTCCATGGTTCTGCCGCATTCCCGCCGCCCGTCAGCGGTGGTGGAACCACCACTACTGTAGCAGCAGTAGACCCACTTCTCCCTGCACCAGCCTACAAATACATTAATCACTCTTCTGCCGCTCCTCCCCTCCTAATTACTAGTGTACGTCTCTTTTCCCCGGCCTTGCTCTAAATCCAAGAAACGAATTAATCATTCTTTCTTTCCTTTTTTTGGTTTATATAATTATACCCGCCCAATTCTACAAAGGAAACAATTTTTCTTACTTTTAATTAATTAATGAACTTTTTTATTCCCTTGCATGTTTTATGATTATGTATGTCCTTTTTCCTCATCTCCATCCATCAATTTTAATTTCAAGAATTGAGATCGAGATTAATTATATAATCATTATTAAGAATTACTACCTTCATTCTCTTTTAATTGTAACATTGGACTTTTTTCACTATTAACGCATTCTACTTTAACTATATTTAATTTATTAATGTATTATAAATTAAATTTTTAAAAAATATTGTTACATTCTTCTCATTTAAAATTTTTAAAATCTGATTTTTTTACTAATAAGGGATGAAACATATTAATGGTTGGTTTGACCAATATGATGTATTAATCATATATTATGTATGATACAGTATTAGGAAACGGTTTCCCACCCAATATCAATTTGAGAGTTAATGGGATTTTTAGGAAAGAAAGAATTAAGCCAAATTATACGTAGGCAGGGTTGGGTTGGCGGAGTATTAAGTTTGTTTTTAAATTCTTACTTACTTACCTTCTCGGGCTAGGTTTGGTTCGGTTGGACTTGTTTCCATCCTACACCACATCACACATAAATTCCCATGATTAACTACTCGCGCGCGCGGTACAAAGAATATTATTGGAAAAGTTTTACACGAAATTTTTTACATTAAAAATATTTACAGTTTTTAAATTTGGGGTGGGCCAGGGCCTAGCGTGGGCACCCCTAGCTCCGCTCTTGTGCACAAAGATTAATGAATGATAATAAATGGTGCTTGCTTTTTAAAATTTTGCACATCTTCCTAAAAGTATATGTCTTTAAATTAATGGAAAAAAGTAAAAGTAAAGGTAAATTCGTTACTTTACTCTTATTTACATACCTAAAATAGAAAGTGGAAAATCATTTTAGGACAATCAAAATAGGAAATTTTGCAAATCAAATTGGATGGAGGGAGTATTAGACTAGCCTAATCGATATATCATCTTTGCATTGTACGTACGTATAGTGTGGTTATTTCATGAATTTTATTATTATAAGTATTTTTCAAACAAATCTTGAGAGTGAGGTGTGAAATGGTGCGAGTGATCGATTGTGTACATCCTGGTTTCAAAAAATTTAGACCTGGCCTTGAATTATATGGATTAATGGTTGATTTAATTTTCAAAGCAAAAGGGAAAAGTGTGTATTTGGTGAGATCGAGAGTAAATGATTTTGTGATGAGTGTAGGAAAAAAAGGAAAACTGAAAGTAAAAAGGCCGGAATTTTGTGATTTTCTTAATAATTACAGCAATTAATTAATATTGCCGTTTTAGGTACACAACCCGAACCGCAGCTTACGGACGCAAAGTCTTGTCTTGACTTGACTCGAAATCATGAATCTATATACTACTTCCTCCGTCCCATATTTATCTTCGTAGTTCGGTTTACGATGTTTGACTGACAATAAAGCAACTTGATTCCTGTTCACATTCAGATTATTTTTAGTAAATTAAATTTACATATTAACAAACTACATTAAATCCGGTACAAAAGCTGATCAAGAAAATTTAAGTTTGATAAAGTTTAATATATAAAGTAAAAGTTTAATAGTAATTTGAGTTAACCGTGTGAATAGTAACTATGAAGATAATTTTGGAAGAGGGAGTAGAATGTTTTTTTTTCTGGCATGGTCAAAGCACCATTACGTGTTCTGCACACCCAAGCTACCGTTACGAATTTATTTATTTAAATCATACAGAGAGTTATACTGCATCATATCTATCTATATATATTCCTAATATAATATAATAACACACACACATAAATTATATGCTTAATTATTTTCATTCAAATACAAATCATTAACAAATGAGCTATTACGGTACGGTTAATACATTAAACGTGTTTGACCATAACGGCGATCGACCAATCTCTTTTCAGTTTTCTTTTTCTAATACTCGATCGGAAGGCTAATTTGTAGTTTTCCGATTCTTCTAAGTAGTTTTTACTTGGATTGTAATTCCTCTGGCGGTATTTAATTAAGAAAAAATGGATCTTGATTTAGTTAAATTAAACAGGATATAAAAGGGGAAGAGGTTGTGAATCTCACATCTGGCGTGTTTTGGCCTGAAAAGAAGTTAGAGATGGTGGAAGCTAAACTGGGAATAGCTAGAGCTGCAATAAGAGAAGCTCTCCATGGAAACCCAACATCTGACTTTGACTATGTTCCCATGGGTCCGGTTTATCGGAATGCCAAAGTTTTCCACAGGTAATATATAATTAATTAAGCTACCCTGGTAATTAAGCATGCATGCAATCAATAATCGAATCAATATAATATAATTATAAATACTCATGCATCTTTACTTGTTTACTACACACAATGAAGCTAAGATAATAAATTAATGAGCATTACAAAAATATGTTAAACAATGAACGTACATATGCACTAATTTAGTACATACACAACTATTTTTGTAAATCTAATGTTAAACAAACATTTATTTTTTAGATTTATTTCACATGATCTTAAATTTGGACAACTAGCAGCATGTGATATTTAATATTGCTTGATATTTTACAAAATCGAGTAGTAATTAGACAATGAAGATAAATTAATAAGCATTACAAAAATAGAATTCCTTTTTTATAGAATAAGTTTCCTAAGTCTTAAACCAATGAGATATTCTATTGTTCGGGATGTTCTTATTTGGACTCGTTTCAGCCACAGATCAGACTTCGATAGTTGTAAAATACGCAGAACGAGACCAAACATTCACTTTACCAAACAGACAGTTCAGACCAGACTACAAAATTTCATTCCAAGTAAAAATACCGTGATTTGTCAAAGAAAAGATAAATTATTTTCATTTTTTCTCCTCTAATACATCTTATTAAGTACTATGTATTATACTATGTACGGAGTATTATGTAAGACTAAATTGGTATCTAAAGAGAGTCAATTCCCTAAATAGGACTAAAAAGTGGCAAAATTGCACAAATAGGATTACATTTTTTAAAATCCTCCAATAGGACTATTTATGTGTGTTTGGACAAATATACCTTGTAGCTTTTGAAATGTTTTAATTAATAATAAAAGGGAAATTGCCCAAAATAGGAGCAAATGAGATTTGAAATTCCACAATAGGACTATTATGTTCTTCTTCCCAAAATAGAAGTTGTTACTGTCATGTATGAAAATTATTGTCATGATTGAAAAATACTGTCATTATATATAATAAATACTGTCATGTTAAATGCACCGTACTGCAACTATTTGACAGTTACGCATACAAGATGACAGTAATAAAACTCCATTTATAGTCCTATTTGGGACAAATATACCTTGTAGTCCTATTTTGGAATTTTAAACTCCATTTACTTCTATTTTGGAAAATCTCCCATAATAAAATCATAAAAAATAATAAAAATCACAAAAAAAATTAATAAAATATATATAAATCAAAAATTAGAAAAATTCAAAACGAAAAATAAAAAAAAATAAAAAAAAATAAAAAACGTATAAAAAACCATTGCCTCTGCCACCCCCAGCACCACCAACTCCCATCATCGGAGAAAATCTGCCAACATTTTGAATACGTCATAATGATGGAAGATTCAATGGAAATGTTGGCATATTGAAGAGTAATTGTGTCATTTTCTTGGCATTTTCAGATAAAAGATGGAATGTTTTTACAAAAAGTGGAAAATTTTCACCAATCGAAGGTGGCGGTACTGGGAGGCGGTGGGAAAGACATCCATATTTGTTTATGAGGTTTTACTATTTTTATTTTTTTTTTAAAAAATTAAAAATATGTTTAATTATTTTATAAATATTTTATTAATTTTTATAATTTTTTAACGATTTTTTATTATTTTTTATGATTTTATTATGGATTAAAACAATTCATTATGAATTAATACCCTTAGAGGTATTTAGGGTAGAAAATCAATGTTTTGTCCTATTTGGGGAATTTAAAAAGTAGTCCTATTTATAAAACAATAGACTACGGAATTCTTTTTCATGATTGGTGTGGGAAACTAATTAGGATTTAGAAGATCAGAGAAGACACAAAAACAACCTAATGCTACATTGTGTATTTCTTGGGATTTGCACGCCAGGCTTCCCATCATGAGCAAGGCCCGGGATGTTTGCTCCTACGAAGTATTATAAAATTATTCCAAAAATGACAAATACGTAAGTATTATTATTTTTATTAGAAATAATTACAAAGTTATGATTAAAATAAACAATATTTATAAAATTGTGAGTTTTTAAACGTAGCGATTATTATAATAGTAAATTTAATCACATTAACTAATATTCATCTTTTAGAATTAAGTGATTGTGACATAATAATAGTAACGGTTTTTAAAATGTCTGTACAAAAATTAAAACAAAATATAAAAATTAAAACATCTTTTCACATCTGACACTACCTAAGTAAATTTATCTAGGCTTCAAAGGCTTTAAATTAGTCATGTCGTCATGACACGTCTTGCGCCTTTTAAAAAGTTTGTACTTATAACTCACATTGAAAATACGTTCAAAGATCTCTTTTAAATGAAGGGTACTTTGTAAATGGATATTTATTTTGACTATATTGTTAATTAATAATAACTTTAAATTTGTTATAAAACATTAAGAATTTATTATTAACATAGTGTACAATATATTACGAACTACTTTGTAAATTTTCACGTTTAAAAAAAGACCTAATTTTTATTGTTGCATAGGGCCCCTATTTTATCAGGACCGGCCCTGTATATAGTGTCTTGCATGTACATATATAACTTCTTATAGACAAATGGAAAATTGCATTGCCTTAAAGAGGAATATAAAGGTTCTAGAATTTCAAAATAGGACTATCATGTTTTATTCCCGAAATACGAGTAATTATTGTCAGGGAGAACTATCAAATAAGCCCTCGAACTTACATAAAAAGTGCAAATAAGCCCTTTTGTAGGAGGCTCTGTCCGACCGTCAACATTTGAGGCGTTTCCGATGGAATTTTTTGATGAACTTTTTTGAGCATCTTCTTCATTAAGTTTAGTTTATCCATACCAAATTTCAGCTAAAACTTCAACCTAGAAGTAAGTCAAATGATATTCTGAAATATACTGCGCTTTTAAGTGCGCAGTTATCTTCAAAAATTTATTTGATCGAGTGTCTTCTCAATTGAACATTTAGCTGAAATTTGGTATGAGTAAACTATACTTAATGAATAAGATGCTCAAAAAATTCCATCAAAAAATTCCACAGGGAATCGCTCCAAATGACGACGGCCGGACAGAGCCTCCTCATCTTCATAAAGGGACTTATTTGCACTTTTTATGTAAGTTCGATGGCTTATTTGGTAGAATCGGACTTTAAACATTGTAGTGTTTTCAAACTTTACGGTAATTATTCCTATTTAGAGTATAAAACATTTTGAAATTCCAAAACGCTTTTACTCCTATTCTGTGTACATAAATAAGCAATTCAACAAGTAATATGCATGTGCATTGATGATGGGTCAGGAGTTACATGGAAATGGAGAAAGAGTTGAAGATATATGTTTATGAAGAAGGGGAGCCTCCGATTTTTCACAACGGGCCTTGTAAGAGTATATATGCAATGGAAGGAAATTTCATTTACCAGATGGAGAGTAGCCCATTTCGGACAAGAGATCCAGACAAGGCACACATTTTCTTCCTCCCGCTGAGTGTTACAGCCATTGTCCACTTTATCTACGACAGAACATCACGCAGTAGCGAGCACTGGCTTCCCATGAAACGAACCCTCAGTGACTACATTCATCTCCTTGCCCACAAGTATCCTTACTGGAATAGAAGCTCAGGAGCTGATCATTTCATGCTCGCATGCCATGATTGGGTACGTAATTAGTCCATCCTCATTATATCCAATTCATTCTTGGTCGGCCGAGTAAAAAAATTAACACAAGTTAAAAAATTTATCAGGCCAACGATACATACAAACTTCAATTCCCAAAACTAGCTTAACTAAGAGCTAAGCTAGTGAATAAGTCTTATTTTGAGATCGAAAATGCATGTGTTATCTTAATCTTGGTGGTGCATGCTGCGCGCAGGGTCCTGAAATCTCAAAGGCGGTTCCGGAGTTGTTCCAAAACTCAATCCGAGCTCTATGCAACGCCAACACTTCGGAAGGATTTCGCCCTTGGAAAGACGTGTCAATCCCAGAGATCCTTCTGCCTGGAGGTACAATGCACGGCCTAATAGGCGGTCCCTCCCCATCACGCCGCTCAATTCTGGCCTTCTTTGCGGGGGGGCTTCACGGTCCAATAAGGCCAAAAATCCTAGAGCATTGGGAGAAGAAAGATGAAGACATTCAAGTTCACAGGTACCTGCCCAAGGGCGTTTCGTACTATGGGATGCTAAGAAAGAGCAAGTTCTGCATTTGCCCCAGCGGGTACGAGGTCGCAAGTCCCAGAATGGTGGAGGCCCTTTACACCGGTTGTGTCCCTGTGATCATTAAGGACCACTATGTTGCGCCCTTTGCTGACGTCCTCAACTGGAAGGCGTTTTCAGTTCATGTCCGGGTGGAGGACATCCCAAAGTTGAAGCAGATTCTGGAGGGGATCTCACAGCCTCAGTATATAAGGTTGCAGAGAAGGGGAACTTTGGTGAGACGGCATTTTGAGGTTAACCTTCCTCCTAAGAGGTATGATGTTTTCCACATGATTCTTCATTCCGCATGGCTGAGAAGACTGAATGTGAGGCTAGCTTCAACACGTTTCAAAGAACATGCACCGCCCTGATCTGATCGACTCCTAGCTTGCCCATGCTCCATCCCAACTGTAACATTTTTAATTTGGACAAATCAAGCTAAGTTTTCTTTTTTGTTTTCTTAAAGGAAAGAAATAACTAGCAGCTTCATTCTGTTATGTACTTATATGTACAAATATACAATACCTTGTATACTGAATGAACGTTGTTGACGGTGAATAGATTGAAGCCATTTAACTTAGTTGTGAGTGTATATGAGCTCTAAGTATTATGTGAAAAGCAGACAGTGGAGGACCTAAGGGGGGCTAGGGGAGGCGCATGCCCCCACTTTGGGTCCGGAATTTCACTAGTAACACTTAGTAAAAACCAGTGCCCTGCTTCGGCGCTTCATACCAATATTTGATAATTAAGATAATAAAATGTTACAGTTATATAACAAAAATGAATACAAAATATTTAAATTTTAATTGAATTAAAATAAAAGATATAAAATTATCAAAAAAAAAATATTAAGGGTTGAAAACAAAAAGTAACAAAAAAAGTTAAAATGCAAAAAAGTAGCTAAATGTGCAGGCAGCTAAAACTATTAAAAGTTTAAAAACAAAATCCACTAACATTTGGAAGATTAGAATGGAAAAAGCTGAATTGACAAGTTTACGAATTAAAACCAGACGCTCAATCGTTCCATATTTCCTTGATTTGTAAGTTTGTTTCCAATTTATTATGCATTTATGGCACCTGCTTCTTAGTTGCCACATGGGTTTATTTTAAAAATTAAAATTATTAATAATCAAGAATATTGAGGATTGTTTGTTTACTTGAAATTTGATAGTTTGAATTTGTGAATGCGCTCTAATTAGGGATTATGGTTCTAATTTGTAAAAGTTTTTTTCTTTTAATTTAGTGAAATAATTAGGATGCAGAAATTGATTTAATTAGATTTTATTGTATTTTTCTTTTTTATTAGGAAAATGAGTTTGGATAAATTTGTCTTGAGTTGGAGAATCGCTTTAGTGAGTCAAACACAGAATTACTCACTTGTGTAGCATGTCTTTGATCCTAGAGATAAGTTCTCCAATTTTTGTGTGTCAAAGCTATTGAACCTTGCGGAGTTATATTCATGCGTTTTTTCATTTGTTGATCAAATGGAACTGAAAGAGCAACTCCAGGTGTGAATATATAAAATGACAACAAATGAATTATTTTCTGCTGTACAAACTATTGGTGAAGTTTGTAAAAAGATGATTGAGCTTAAAGTTCACAATTCTTTTCACTTGGTATATCGTCTGATTGAGTAATTGGCTTTAGTATTACCAGTTGCAACAACCACCGTTGAAAGGGCCTTCTCTGCGATCAATATTATCAAGAAAGATCTTCGCAATAAGATGAGAGATGATTATCTTACGGATTGCTTGGTGTGCTACATCGAGAGAGATGCTTTTAGAATCATTGATAATGAAACTATTATGCAACATTTTCAGAATATAAAAACTCGTAGGCTTGATTTACCAAAGTTGCAATAGTGAACTATTTAATATGTAATTAACTATTCAGTATAATTTAATACATTTTTTTTACCATTTTTATTACATTTCGAGTTTTTATTATAGAGTAACTTTAGTGTCTAGTGTGTCCCGCTCTCACAAATCTATGGATCCGCCACTGTTGACGACATTCAGGGATGGATTCACGATCTAAGGTCAAGGTTGTGAATTTGTTTAGCTGTAGGCTTTTAACTATTTCAGGAACTTTTGAGGAATAGTCAAAAAGTAAAAATAATACTATGTCCGTTCCAATAAAGCGTTTGAAAAAGTAAGAATTATGGTTGAGATTTGCGTATAATAAAGTGAATTGTTGTGGACCAAATATTTCTTTTCAAAAAAGTAAATGTGACACTTATTTTGGACAACCTAAAAGGAAAGTAGGACACATAAAATGGAACGAAGGGAATTAAGTAGTACTACCTCCATCCCGAAAAGGTTCACCATATTTTGACTTTTCTTGTTCAATGATGATAAACTTTGGAATACGATTTTAGTCATCACACACACACACACACACACACACACACACACACACATATATATATATATATATATAATAAATTTTATACTTTTCTAAAAATATTTTCAATAAGGAACATTTTCATATAACTTTCATATTCAAAATAACTTCGTATTAAAAAAAAACAATTGGTAAAGTTAATTGTTATTGATGGAGAAAAGTCAAATTGATAAATCTTTTTGGGACGGGGGAGTATCACTTGTCTTTTAAAATTTCTTCCTTTTAAAATTTCTTTTTTTTAAAATTTCTTTCATAAATAGACTAATCAAACTTTTTTCAATAATAGACTCTAAGACTTAGGATGTTTTTACTTGAACTGTTTTTACCTGATCAGACTTTCGTAATTATAAAGTACACAAAAATCACACATTAACCAGAACAAATCATACCATCAAATTTAAGCTCAAGTGAAAACATCCATAATAACACCTTAACAGTAAAAATTTAGGCTACTACGTACGGTTAGTGCCGTATCCTAAATTCTAACACACAAGAAAATGATGAGAAAATATATTTGAAAAATGCTACAAAAATGTAAAATCTTTCTAAATTTTGGGCAAACTTGTTTTAAAAAAATCCATAATATATTTGAAATACTAATAATGAAAAGTGTAAAATATTATAAAAAGAGGAAAAAACAGAAAAATCTGTAAAATCAAATAATTAAGGGGTGTCCCCAACTAGGAGTTGAATGTATTTTAAAAGATCAATGGATTTTGAAATCCGATTGATTCTACAAGATTTGTGGTGGAATGTTTTTGTATATAGAAATTCATCCAAATCCATCCAAATAAGTACTAGTAGAAATTCATGAAATGTTTGAGAACACCCTTATTATCATGGATTCCACAGAAATCCAAATCGGGGACACCTGAATTCTGATGGATTCCTAAACCCCGTTAAAATCCTCCAAAATCCAAATTGAGGTAAGATCACTGTAGCAACAAGTGACTGGGGCAGTAGGTCACTGAACATCTGGGTTAATGGGGTGTCTACGTCAAGTCACACCCAGATTGTCATGCCTCAGACCGCATCCGTGCCACGTAGGGTTGTAAACGAATCGAATCGAACCGAATAGTGAGTAATACTATTCGTATTCGTATAAATTGACGAATATTCGTATTCGTTTTCGGATATTATTCGAATCTTACAATAGATTCATATTCGGTTCGTTTATTGTATTTGAGTATATTCATATTCGAATATTCGAATTCGATTATTCGAATTCGAATATTCGAATTCCAATTCAAATATTTAAAGTGTCAAAAAAATTCACCAATTTTATATTTTAATTTTAAACAATTATATAAATTATAAATATAAAAGAATATATATTTATAATTCGTAAATATACAAATCGAATATATTCGAATAACTTACGAATCGAATATATGTATATTCGTATTCGTATTCGAATTTTATTCGAATAATAAAATTGATTCGTATTCGAATTCGTATTCGAATATTTCGAATTCGAATCATCAATTTCGAATTCGAATCGCGAATCGGATCAAAAGTATTCGATTCGTTTACAACCCTAGTGCCACGTAGACAACCGTCGTACAATCCAACAAGGATAACCGTCAGTCGCGCTCGTTAAATTGTACAAGGCGTTTGAAAGATTTATACACCAATCCGGTAAGTAAACACATTGATGGATAGTGTACCCGGGGGGTAGCTTATCCGAGGGGTTATTGCGGGGAATAGCTAGAGAGAAATCAGAGCAAGTAAGTAAGAGAGAGAGTATATTAGAAATGTATTCAGATAGGGACACATGTCAAGCATTCATTGGCCGATGGGTCACCTCAACTGGTTGGCGCTGGCAATCGCATGTGGCCGCATTTAATGCGGCTGTTGGATGTGACGTCGTACTTGATACGGTGATCCAGGCGCATGTGGAGGGATATTATGTCGGGAAAGGTTCCCTCGGCTGCAGGTGATTAGCCGAGAGCTTTGAGTACCGGGGATCTCTTTAGTGCCGAGGGCTACTGATTTTCGCCGTTTTCTCCCAGTAACTTTGTTTTCTTGATTTGGCCATCCTGTGAGAATTGGAGCCTTCGGCCAGGGGGCCGAAGGCACCCCTAGTGTGCCACGTGGGTTGCTTAGTACTTGGGGCGCCGTGATTTGGGCCTGCTGTGCTTCCTGGGCCTATTGGGCCTCCATTAGAATAGTAGGAGTCTATGGGCCGGGGGTTCCTGGGCCATATACTCCATCACACATATAAGCAACATCAATATTTAAGTCAAACAAAGTGCGAAATATAACTCTTTGATAACAAGCCACATGTGGCAATCATGGGCATGCATGGCCCAAAACATTTACAAAACATAGTTTAGAAATATTCCATGAGCAGTTACATTTTATTTGAAAAATAGAAACAGGAAGCAAGAGCCACGTCTTCCATTATACTATCCTCCGTTCTTTAATTTTTGCAACAGTTTGACTTTTACGTTTGTCAATGCACAACTTTGACTGTAGTTATATATAATTATGTATTAGTAAACATTATAAAAATTTGATATTTTGGAAATTCATATTGATAGGAATTCAATAACATTTTATACGTAATAATTTGATTATGTATATTAGTAGAAAATCATGGTCAAAGTAAGGTATGTGAATAGTTCAAAAATCACAATGTTGCAAGAATTAAAGAACGGAGGAAGTATTATCACCTGATCAATGGTGCATGAAGTAGACTCTAGTCTCGACCTGGATATGGTGTGAACCCATACCCATCCTAGTTGCGGTTTGATACCTTTGTAATTTCCGTGTGTATATTTATATTTTTAGTTAGTTTTGTTGTTTGATATGTTGGAAATTACACACTTTTGGTGTAATATTTTAGTTTGTTAAATTATTTGTAATGTATTTAGATTAGGATTATTCTGAGCTTAGGATAGGTCAAAATCATCCCAAAAATCAAAGGATGGATCATAAAGACCAAAAAATGTGCAAAAGATAGAAGATCAAATGAAGATTTTGAAATTCGTTCATGTACTCGGTCGAGTATTGCCAATACTCAGTCGAGTATTGACTGGATACGCTGGTCAAAATCAAATCTGGGAGCAAAAGAACGTGGCTGAATATTTGATGGAAATCCGGTCTAATATCGACCGAGTATCACTCAATACTCGGTCGAGTATGCCTATATTTCGCAATTTCCTGGAAACTACC